GTGTATCCTTGCCCTGGCTGCAAGGATTATGTCTCCCTGCCATGTACATACTCTTGCGTTTTATATATACAGGTGTATGTTCAAAGTTAACAACAGGGCATGCATAAGGGCTGGCTATTCTGCTGTGTTGAGAGGTCACTGCTCCTCTGGGATTAGGAATGGAGAAACCAAAAGTGTATCCCCAGGTATTAAATGTTTAAAGAGCAAAGGTGCATCTGAATTTTTTTTCTTTTCTTGAAGTTGTCTGTAAATCTTCCATGAGCGTAGTCTGAGCTGCCAGTGACCCACTTGCTGAAAGCAGGACATACTTTGTGCTTCAAATTTGTTTTCTCATCAGGCTAATGGAGGTATTTTTGGTATGCAGCTATAGATGGATGTAGAGCTGGCATAATACAATAAATAGCTGGTATGTGATAACAGTACTCAAGCAGTCTGTCGATGTCAGAAATGTGATGATTCTTTAAAATCTTTATTTGCAATTTAATTTATCTCTAGGGTTCTTCATGTCAGAAATCCCTTGTCCACAACCGCCTGGGTGTTGGCTTTTATCTCTGCTTGTCACATACATTTCAGATCCTCGGACAATGTTGTCTTGAAATGAGAGGACGTGACCAAAAGCATGGTGTTTGTGTAGCCATAATAACCTGAAAGAAGCAAACAGTGAATGACAGAGAGAAACAGAGATTTATGTTCTGGGGACAGCACTAAGACAGCATATGCAGGAGCTTAGCTGGAGCTGCTTGACTGGTTTTCTGCCTATCTTCTGCAGGCAAAACTTGGTTTTAACAGCAGAAGTGTTTGCATTAGTTCACTTCTGAAAATGTTTGGAGCAACTGTGCTCTGTATCGTGTCTTTGCCATGGTGCCAAACAGGCTGCTGTAAACAAATACAGATATGTACTTGGAAAAAAAAGTTGCTTGGTACATTTGTTAACCTTCCCTTTGTCCATGTGCTGCTGGCCCTTGCATGTTAGTATCGCTCTGTCCACACTTGGCCTTTGCCTCTGCACTTGAGTATGGTCGCGCTCTGGGAAGGACGAAGTGCTGAGCAAGTCTCGTCCCTCTGCCCTGCAGTGGGATTCTGGAGGGAGGTGACTTCTCTGCACTGGGGCAATTTGGTGACCTGTGATTGCTGTCGTTCTGGGGGTGCAGCTGAGCTAAGCTGTGTGACAGCGACTGCACTGAAGGAAGGAGCTGTTTATCTGCCTGGCTGCGCAGTGCAAATGAGAAGATTGATTATAAATAAACTGGGAAAACTGAATCCTTGCTTCATTTAGATATCTGTTTTAAAAACGGTTAGCAAGGGCCTGTCCTGTACTAGATGTCCTAGCACTGATTTTTGTAAGCTTTGACTTTTCTCCTGTCTTGTAACACTCCTCCTTTACACTTACTCCATGTGCTCTTTTCTATTCGAGCACCTTGGCTCTTGTAGCCTCGGGCTCTTTTTGCGCAAGAGGAGCAAGATGAGGTGTTGAGAGGTCAAAGGAGTTGTCCAGAACTGTTCAGCAGAGCCAGGCACTGAACCCTGACTGGTTTCTGCTGCCGGATGGAGAGTAACTCTGACTTGCACTTCCAAGGGAGCTACTTCTTTTCTGCGAGAAAAGACTGAGGCTGTGGGAGTCCTTTTGTGCAGACACCTGCAAGTCCCTTGGGTGTTTCCCCCAGTCATGACCCAGAGGGGCTCAGAGGATGTCAGTGCTTGGAGTAGGCTGCGGGGCATCCTTGTGTTGACTGCAACCTTTCTCTTCTCACCTGGGATTGAACGAGTCGCTTCCCTTGCTTAGTCTTTTAGTTTTAATGTCAGTATACACTTGACACGACAGTGCGTCTTCTAAGAGCACATCTATCACAGGTGCCCACTACAGACCTGCGGACTTTCCTTCCACTGTCCCAGCAGACCTTACGCAGCACATTGGAGTACCTGGGCTAAGGGCCTGTAGGGTTGTTGTTATTTTCCCATTCATTTTATGAACAGAAAAAGTCTAAAACTAGAGGAACTTAGCCCGGAGAGATACAGCTGCTGCTGAACAACCTAATGTAGCAATCAAAGGAGAGGCAGTGACCTTGGAATTAGTTTAAATGACTTTTTCATTGGCCTTGAGAATTTAATGGCAATCCTCACAGGATTATTGAAAGATAGGATAAATAATCATAGGAGAGATTAATTGATCTGCAGTGTGTAGGTCTGACTTCTAATTCATATCTCCCCTTTTCTGCAATGGTAGGTGGAAGCAGGCTGTAGCACGCAATATCAAAATTCTTATAAAGATGGCCAGAGAAGCATCATTTATCATGGGAGAAGCTCTTAAGATTTGTTGTCCCTCTTTCGGATTCAGTTTAATGTGGTGGCTTTTTTTCCAGGCTGGCATATTGTGCTGTCCTCTGTCAGGGATGGAACAAGCATTGCATGATAAAGATTTAAGGACTTCAGTTTGCATTTAAGTGCCTTTAAAGACCTGATCCTGCTTTCCCCTTATTTTAAGCATGAGTGAGTTAGCTTTGTGGCAGTCAGTAGTGCCATGTCTGTGTGATGTTCATGAAAGAACCCGGAACGGTGACACTTCATAGTCTGGATATCTTTCTCCAGAATATTACTTGCATGAAGTTCAGATGCTTTAGATTGTTGGTTTTGTTTTTTTTTTTTATTTCCTGGGCAAAGTATGCCTAGCTCGTTTGTTTGTTTTTTCTCTGCATAGGTTTGTGAAAACTCGGGTTGTTTGATGCTTTTGGTTGACCAGATCTAATATTAATGGTTGTGGAATACAGTGTAGATTGTGTGGATACCATATCTCAGGACACACTGTGTAAAGCCCACCAAGGTGAAGTTACCCCTGCAAAAAAATATTTTTTGTACAAATTTGAGCTAGCTAATTCAGAGAGGTTCCCAGGTATCTGAGCTGGGACTTGAGATGCCCTTTGCTTAGAAGTGAGGAAGAGCACAAAATGAATAAAGTTCCCTGCTCCTAAAAGGAGAAATAAATCAACTCGGGCAGGTGTCAAAGGGAACTGTCAGCCCCTTCCACAAAGCCATATGCCTGCAAGTTTTCTGTGGGTGGCAAATAAATCATTTTGCCAGCCTCTTTCATGCTCTTAACCAAGACAAGTAGTGCTGAGACAGTAACTCTTCCTCAGCCTTTTCCATTCACCTCTGAAGCTGTCACGTCAGGTTCCCAGCTTGGTGGCACATGCTTCCGCCACCGTGTAAAACCAAAGCAAAGCTTCCTCCTCCAGCTGAGACCCCCTCGTTCTGCTGCTCCTAGCACATTAAAGCATTGGGTTTTGCTCAAAAGAAGGATGTGGGGCTTTTTAATGCTGTGGTCGCTACGCAGATGACTGAGCAATATGGATCTTAGCTGGTGTTTGAACTGGAGTTTGGGCTGGGATCAACCATTTGGGTATTTGCTGTAATTCTCAGGTGGGATTTGTAGTCTTTATTCAAATGTATCCACCCTGTTCTATAAACATGCCCTGAAAGTGTTTCATGGTGTGCTGTGGTGGTTGGAGCTCTGCTGAAGTCCCTGTTTGCTGTGGTGAAGTTACACCTGGATGTCCTATTGCTTCTTGGCTGTGAACGCTCTTTGACTTGTGCTGTATAGAACATGGTTGTCTGGTTGAGTTCAGGCTTAGCTTTGCATCTGCTGGCTTCGGCAGTCATCCCATTAGTGGGAATCAAAGCAGTGCTGAGATTGAGTCCTTGGTTTATTTTCTTTTAGACAGTGGTGTAAAAATAGCCCCAACCCTGTTGCCCATACACCTCAGAAACAGCTTTTGCTGAAGCTGCATTGAAACAGATTTCTAGCCGTATTTTCTGATACTACTTTCAAAAGCTCAGCAAAGTCTGGGCTTTCAAGTGCCCGTTCCAGCAATAACGGCTGAAGAAAGAAAAGCTGACTGCTGCTGCAAACAAGAGGAAAGAGTGCAGCGAGGGATTGCGTTGAGATTACATTGCACCGGGGCAGGCGAGTGAGTGCGTCTGGGTCGTGCCATGCGCCTTGTTACAGCTCTCTGTGTCTCCAGCCTGCGCGCGGGAGCCAGCCCTCACCCTGCCCGGGTGTCGATCTCTGCCGCTCCGTCCCCTTGCTCTGACCCTGCGGGGACTGCGAGTGCGCTGGTCCCTCGGGGGCAATAGCGGGGGCTGCGTGGGGGTGAGGAAGGGGCTGTCCCGGAGGCCCAGCATCACGCCGTAGGTGCTGAAGCGTAACTTCACGTCATGGCAGGAGCCTCACCTGATCCTGAAAGTTCAGCTTGCCTGGAAGCAATTGCACCGGCTGAAAGCAGTTTAATTTACACCCAAATAATTTATTTTAAATCAGCTTTTCTCGCTCATGCATTTATTTTACTTTATCGTAATGTCAGCACTTAGCAGTGAAGTAATGGCAGATCTCTGGAGAACTTCGCACAAGCAAGAAAGCACCATTATCTTGGTTTTACAGGCCCTGCTTATGTTGAGAACATATGTGGTGGTGTAATTACACTGATGTGATTAAATCAGTGCAAATCCTTGCTAGAGGGACATGCTGCACCACTGTAAAGCAGGGCTTATTATCAGTGCAGTTTAATTAAAATTACATTACTCAAGCTGTGCTAGTATAAGCCTCTGCTTAAAGTCAGGAAGTCACGTGAGGGCCTGTGTTGTTTCGTTTTAAAGCAGATAAAGATTTGGAAACTGAAACAGGTGAGGTTGTGCCTCACCCAGGAGCATGCTGGAAGTGATGGGCTTGACAAGTACTGTGTTTATAGTACTTTCTGGGAGGAAAGAGGTGTGGGTGCAAATTCAGGGGTCTTATTATTATTTTTTAATAGATTAAATTCTTTGTTTAAACCATAGTGACCACTTTGGAAAAATCCTAAATCATACTACGGCTTTACAAATAAATTAAGTAAAATGCACGCTAAATTCTAGTAAATCTCTACCACATGGTTTTGGATTGTGATAATGGCTAGATGGGTCAATGAATAACCATGGAGTGTACAACTTAATTGGATTTTTTTTTTTGGCAGGGTGTGGGCACTGTAAGAAAATGAAGCCGGAATATGAGAAGGCTGCAGAGTTTCTCCATGTAGCCAGTGATGTAAGCTAATTTCCTTTATTATATCCTTCAAATAATCAGTAATAAATAACTGGAGTAATAAAAGTGACTTTTCTCCCTACAACAAATTCAGCTGTTCTCATCCTCCCACAGGACCCTTCAAAATGTGCTTCCAAAGTACAGTCTCATCGCTAATGCATGAGCCCTGCCAAAGTCTTAGAAAGAACATTCTGTCTTGAACGAAAACAAAATGGAAAAATGTTTATGTGTTCTGCTGTAGGCCTTATACATAATATGATCAAATCCAAAATGGATTTTTTTCCCCTTACTTAAAGGCATCGAATGTGAAGAAACATAGGCTTTTATTTATGAATTAGATTTGGAAAAAAACCAAAGGGGGTTGATCCCTCTTTCAAATACCCTGGTTTTATGGTTGCATCACTCCATTAGCTTCATCTTAAGTGCTCCATCAGCGTGGCTGGAGAAGAGAGATCCAATAATATAAGTATTAGTGTTATTGATTCAGTCTCATGCTATGTACGCCATGCAAGAGGAGAAGTAGGATTAGTCTCCCCCATACTTTAAGCGGCTTCAGTGGAGACATCTAGAGTCCCTTTGTAGTTGTTGGAGAAGGAGGAGATGAGAAAAACAAAGATCAGATGAATCACACCCTACAAGTGTCTGTTCTCCTGTGACTCTAAAGGTGGTCCATGTAAAGATGCCCGCAAGTTAGGGAAAGATGAATTTGCCTTCAAGTAAACTTGTCTTTAACAATGCTCATTTCTTCTGGGAGAAACTGGGATTTGTGGGAGGAAGTGCCACTCCTGGGAACAGCTCTTAAGCATTATAAAGTGAATTATATACAGGGAATCCTGTCAGAAATGGGAGGAGAACAGGTAACACTCTGGTTACATTTAGTCCATAAGATGTCCCTTCATGGTTTTGCATCAGTCCTCTGTGTCTTTCTGTGTGTCTGTGCTGAGTACCTGAGAAAATGAAGGCACCTAGATCTTGAGTGATTGCCCCCAAGTCCACTGTTCCCTGCCAAAGGGGTGTGTGTATGTTGCTGGGATTTACAGATAGTGGTCTCTGTTTTAGAGTCCAGGTGTCCTTGCAGCAGTCGATGCTACCGTCAACAAGGCACTGGCAGAAAGATATCACATCTCAGGGTTTCCCACTTTGAAGTATTTTAAGGATGGAGAGGAGAAATACACTCTGCCACACCTTAGAACAAAGAAGAAGATCATCGACTGGCTGCTAAAGTAAGTTTCAAGGGTCTGAGATCGTGTTTGGGTTCCTGATTGCTGGCTCCTGAAGGCTGCTTTGGTGAGGAAGTAAATCTTAAACCTAGCTTCATCGACTGCCTAAATCCCTTGCTAACAAAAACAAATTGAATTCCAGTATTCAAAGCCATACAAACATGTACGTTAATTATGGTCTCTAATACACCAAATCCTTTATTTGCTGCGGGGTTTTTCATAGTTGTCCTGGTATTTCTTTCCCAAAATAAATATTTTTCAAATATACCCTAAGCCTCTCACTGGAGAAGGAATAGCAATGGCTCTGAAAAATAAACAGAACATTTGTTGTTCCCTCTTTATACTAAGCAGCAGATTTCACTGTTAGTAACTGAATTTCTGCAGTTGTACTTTTCTCTTTCCAGCATTTCAGAGCCAATGCCTAGAATATCAGCTACGTGGGGCTGAAGGAAAGCCAGAGAGACCAACAAAAACAGCACCTTTGTCTGCACTAACCAACTTTTCTTGGGTGGTGTGCTAAAATATGCAGAATTAAGTTGATGTATGATGAAAATAATTTCATTTCAAAGAAGTAAATCGCTGGTACAATTCTCTCTTTAAGTATTCTGGAATAAAATACGCATTTCCTTTAGGTACTGTAAGCCTAATGTATTTTCTGCATTATTCAAGGGGAAAAAAACTGCCAGCGTTTTCTGAAGTTTTTAAATCGTTTAACCGTTAAGTGCAGTTGGTGTGAGGAATGCAATCTTAATTTTTCCCCTCTTATTTGGTGGAGGGAGGGGGCTTGTGTGGGGTTTTTTTGGTTGTTGTTTTTTTTCCTTTTCAAATTACATCTCTGAGTGCTTCAAATCAGGTAATAGATATGGTCTGGCAGCATCTTTGTAGCATGTTGGGAAGTTTTATCTATATTTTACATTTAGATACAGTATTTCCTTGGCCTCCCTGCATACTCAGGCTCCAGGCTGCTGTATCAATACTAGATGTTAAGTCACTGTCCTAGTGTCACCAGTTTGTTGGAGTATTTTGAGCGCTGCGTGATTTATATTGAGTTAAACAGGTTGACTCTGCCTGTACATATTGGCAGGTGAATAAGCAATGAGGAAGAGGGGAAGGGGTGTTAATCCTTTCTGGATCGTGCTGTGCCTCTGGAAGACTTTTGGCTGCAGCCTGAGGTAGTCAGCAACACAGGGGAAACCCAGACAACTTGTCTCCTGCTCTTGGCTGCTGGATGTTCTCCCAACTAGAGATGCAATAGAGTAAGATCCTTGTTTGCTGACCAGGGATAAAATTGTCACAGCTGCACTGAAGTTGGTGGAAATGGGGATGCATCTGGGGTGCAGGCTGGAGATAAAAGTACAGCTTGTGTAATCCTATCCCAATGAGTGGTCTAGTCGCAGCCATGTGGATTTTGGCTCCAGTCCCTCTGTGGTGACTGTAGTCTGTGCTGCCGCACTAGGTTGTTACCAGTATCTGGGTAGCTTATTTCAGGTCAGCATGGGAAGGTCTGGGTGAGATGAAGTCACACCTCTGACTGTAACTGTAATCGATGATAGCTCACACGGACTGTGTTCGTGTGAAAATTCAGACCAGCTGCCCTAATTCTTTTGCTAACAACTGGCAAATCGGTATCGATGGAAATACGATGGATGTCCACCAAGTGACCTTGAGTAGGACTTTAAAAATCGAGTTTTTCTCCACTTGGTTTTTATGTACCTGATACAACTTAAAATGGTGTCATTCAAAGTAACAGGAAAGTCTGAAAAGCTAATTTATTACCAAGGCGACATATGAAGGTCTTTATACTGTGGCACCATTCTGATGATTTTATATAAGTAATCACTATTTAAGATACAGCAGGAATGAATTTAATGAGTCTGAGAGAAGTCTGTGAGCTGGTGAATAGCAGAAGTTTTGTTAGAGGCGCTCTAGATGTGCGGGATTGCTCTGATCTAGTCAGTATGTGCAGTCATAATTGAAACCTGACATTCTCTTTATCAAGGTAAAATATTCCAGTTCAGTCACCCCAGTCTTCCAAGTGGAACGATGCTGATTATTGCATCCTGGCTTTAATATCTGAATTAAAGAGAAGGTCATGAATTTCTTTATAGAAGTTTGCATGATAGTGATAAAGAGTACAAAAAGGATTTTTGAATGGAAGATGCTGTTCTGTATCGGTTGCCTTTTGATTCCACCTGCTTGCTGTTCCTCTCAATTCATGCCTATGGATGGCACAGTGATACAAGAGCAATGTTTTTTCCACCCAGATGTTGGATGCAATGTAGGAAATCTTTATTCTGCGTTCCTACTCATATGCCTGAGTATGATCACTTAAATTATGTTTTTATTGAGTTCCAGAAATTAACTTGCACCTTTTTTGTTGTTATCTGGTGTTGGAAATATCAAGCACGTTTTTCTACTGCACAGGCACCCTGAAGGATTGTTCAGCCTCAGTTCCCTCATGGTAGTTACGACCAGGACGTGATGCCCCTTTGCCTGCTTCCAGAAACATTTTCAAAACAATCTCATTTCCTTTCTTTTCTAGTCCTGAAGCACCACCTCCACCTGAGCCTGCATGGGAAGAGAAACAGACTAGTGTTATCCACCTTGCTGGAGAAGACTTCAGGGAGTCCTTGAAGAAGAAGAAGCACACCCTTGTCATGTTCTATGCACCATGTGAGTAAATACCTCTCTACGTGGATGGGTTTTATAAACCCTACAGTTTATGAAATCCTGAATTAATTCCCTTGCTCTCCCCAGACTTTTAAGGATAAAGAGCTGATTCTGAATATAACTGCATGGGACCATCATTGGCACCATTGTTTGTATCTTTATAAACGGAAACAAAACAGTATGCGGCATTTATTTAAAGAGTTACTGAGTTAATGCAGACACCAAAGCAGGCAGGGGTACAAAACCAAAACAGATTTATTTTCCTCTGCTGCGTTTTATGGTCCATATAACAAAATGTGATCCTTTGTAGTAGCACAACGGACATGGAGAGCCTGACTCATTAGTGCAGTGCTTCAGTAGTGAAATCGATATAGTGGTGTAGGAGGAATCAGTCCCCAGAGGCTGAGAACAAATTTTGATGGAATAAATTTTGTCTGTAATAAATCTACATTTAAATCTCCACTGGGAATATGGGCATAGCTTCCTCCTCCCAGATTGCTTTGCGTGCATCACACGCATACTTTCTTTTTGAAGCTCCTGAGAATATTTCTAGAGAAGTTTTGAATCAGGCCCTTTATAAATTAGGTGAATGAGAGGGACCTGTTCTGTTTTCCTGTGTTGTCCCAGAGACAGGCAGACTTGGTACAGGTTCGTAACTTTTGAGGGATCTGTCAAAGGGAGAAGATAATCCTGGCACTTAATATTAAATTAACTTGCTTTTATAGCACCATGACTCAGCCCCCCCAGATGCAAGAAAAATTCTTCCCTATCACGTGGCCAGCCCTGCAATTAATGGATAACCTTCAGATAAGCAGTTACTAACTTGTTCCCATTAAACTGAAGGTATTTTCCAGAAAGGGAGAAAAAGCTCAGGTCCTTAATGTTTAATCAGGCAGCCCCTTATTTTGCTTTTCTATTAGAGAATTAAACATGAATGCTTTTGGGCTCCCACGAAGCCCTGCTGGATGTGGGATGTGGGAGAAGGGAGGGGTGCAATTCAGAAGGGAGATTTCTGGAAGGTTGTAAAAGAAAAGGGAAGGGGACTTAATCCCTTCTCAACTCCAGTTCCCACCACCTATTGACTAAAAATTGCCCATGTGCCAGGAATTTCTGATTCATGGACCTCAACTGGTTAAGAGCAAGCAGTAACTTTAAAATCAAATGATTGCACATGAAATGGTAAAATTCAGGAGTTCGCAGTCTCTTGAGTTCTCTTTACTCGATGAGTGACTTTCTGTGGAAGAGAGAGATTTATTTCCTTTTTGGTTTTTAGCTGCATCTTTTTAAGGCACTTAAATTCTTGGTCTTTTTTTAAGGCCATGTTTAAAGCAAAGACACTACGTGCAATGAGTATGTAGCTCTCAGGGTTGAAAGCATGAGGCAACTTGCCTGATGGGCTAATTATGATACTGTTGTTTGCGGGTTGACTTCCATCCTTACACCAGGAGGGGTGAGTAAAGATCAGCCTGGCCCTGTCTGTATGAACGGGCTGTAAAAGCAAGGCTTGCATGATGTAAGACTGTTGGGTCCTTTGAGGCTGCCCTTCAGACACGTTCTTCTTGCACTGTTTTGGATACAGTGCTGCATGGGACCACCTATATACAGGACAGAGAGGTGTTAACTGGAACCACTTCTGGCCCTCCCATGACTCCTAAGACAGTCAGCGTTGCTGTTGTGTTGTCAGTATGTGGGTCATGCACAGTTTCTGATTTGTCAGCTTTGTTCTCTCTAAATGTGGAAGTGTCTGTGTGCAAAGCAGAAAGCAGGCGCACAAAGGGAGTACAACAAGGCTGCCCTTTGCTGGGTGCAGGGGAAAGTAGCAGATGAATATTTTAAATCTCTGGTTTCTGTGAAATAATCATTAATGCAATAGAACGGTACAAATCATTCTATTTTTCAGCTTTTCTGCAGTGATAATGTGCCTCCTGCTAAATTTGATAGATTAGCTTTTGTTTACCATTTTCTCAATCTTGAGACCTCTTGGAGCTTACATTGCCAATTAGTCTTAACTTGCTTATTTTAGTGCAGAAGGAACACTGCTAAAATTGCCAGGCCCCATTATCTCAAATAATTTTCTTTTTCTATTCAGATCCACATCTTAGGTCAGTGCAGACTCACAGTATGTTACTCCATTCACTTGTGACTCTATGACAGTATTTGTTACACTTACACATATGCTGAGATATTTTAAGATTGGAGGTGTGTGTATACATGCATATATAAAGTATGTTTATATATAAATATTTATGCTAAGAAATGTATCTCTCATCTGTCATTAGAATTGAAAGCGGAAAGTTGAATATTCTGACCTTTGTAAAGCTTTCAGCTCAAGTGACAAACCTTTAGGCAAAGGCCACAGATATATATCTTGCATGCAAATTAAAATGAGATCTGGCTTTTCTGTGGCAGCTTCCAGTCCAAATTACTTAATATGTATAGGAGAACCATTAATCTGCTGCTATGCCGATAACTCTGGACTGAGCTGAGCGGTGCTTTAATGGTACTAAACAGTGGTTCACAGTGATTTAGCTCCGGAAGAGAAGACTGCTACATCCACATAGAAAAGATGGGGAGCTCATTACTCCATCACCCTGAACATGGGTGAAGCGTAAAGGTTATTCCTGGTGCCTGTGGAATATTTTAAGGACTGAGAATCAGAATCAAAACTCTTGAAATTACTGGGGAAAAAAAATCCACTCCTGTGGACTTGACACCCACAGAGAGCGATGTTCTTGATTTCACATTCCCATTCCTCCCCGGTGACATCTCTGTGCACTGTAATAACTGATTTGGGGCAGGAGGCAGCGGTAGGGGCAGGTCCCCAGTACTGACTTGGGGCAAAAGTGCCAGCTGTAGAAAAACTAATGCTACTTGTGCTAATAACTGCCTTGGAGCTGTTCTTCATCCAGGTGTCCATTGGGTAGGTCTGTACCCTCTGTGGCCACCACGCCATGCAGGCTCATGGTGCGGGCTGGCACTTGTCAGTGCTTCTCAGGGCTAGCACTTGGAGCAGACTGCTGGCATCTGTGCTGCACAGCACCTGGCCCGGCTCTTCTCTGGACCCTTGTGGGGCTCTTGTGGTCCTAAGATGTAATTGTCATCCCACTCCCTTATCTCTGAGTTCAAAATACCTAAAATAAGAGGGCAATGATGCAGTCTGCTGAAGTGAAGCATGATGCCACAGGTATGTGTTGTGTCCTAGGGACTGCCATGAGGGGTTTGAGGAGCATTTGAAAGCAGCAGGCTTATTGCACCAGCATTTGAGAGGCATTTTGGGAGGGTTTATGAGATCTGTGTCTGTATTACCTCCACAGACCCCATTCCTTGGAGTACTGGATACCATCAACTACTCCAGGTTTCCTTTTGTAACTGCTTGGCTTCATCCAGAAATGGGGAGAGGAGACAACTAGTCTGAGTATGGTTTGGTTTACATACATAGTCTGGTATGCGGATGATCAGGATTTGGGGGGCTGTGGACCAAATCGGGGAGTGAGCCAAATGGACAAGAATAGATCCAGCCTAGCCCAGTTAGACTGCAGTGCTTAATCAGCTATGGCCAGAAGTACACACACGTCTGTGGTCTACGTCCAGAGCTTGTTTCAAGACTCGCAGCATTAAACGCCTAGCATCCTGGACTGACCAGTTTGCATCAGTGCCTCTTCTGGGATCAATGCACTGACTTTTCTTTCTTCTTTCTCATGTGGCCTCGCTGTTTGTTCATATAGCTTATCTGAATGTGTTTTATCTGCATTTTTACTTTTATGTGCTCTCTTCACTCTGTTATCCCAGATAATTGAGATTTGAATTCGCTAATGCATTAAATTTTAACCTCCTCCTACTATAGCTCTGAAAACTGCAAAATAGAAGCAGTTGGTTGTGATTAGTTGTCAGAATCACAAAGGGCAACAAAGTTCCAGTAAATAACATGTCTTCTCAATTGGAGATGTTTTTGCTGCATTACTCAAACTGAATTAAGGGAAAAAAATGTGATTGAAGCTAGGTGAGCATTTTTCAATGAAATATGGAGATGCAGATAGTTTTTCAGGAGTGTACTGTGTTTATAACCCAAACTTCTGTCTGGAGAAGCCCTTGGAGTCCTACATGGAATTTCTTGTTGAGGCAATGCAAAGACCCATACCAAATTAATGACCATCACATATCTAACGAAAACTCACATGGTTCCCTCTTCTACCTTGTTCATCCCTGGGATTTAATAGGCCTTTTTGATGTCATAATTTGGTGATGTGACTGTCAAGTTTTAGCTATTCTTGGGTGATGCTCCCTCAAACTTACGCTGGGTCTTTTCTGCGCTTGTAGAAACAATTCAGAGCTGGGGACACAGACTCCATAGATGGACATCTTCAACTGCATTAGGCAAAGCATCACCAGCAGGTCAAGGGAGCTGATCCTTCCCCTTTACTCAGCACTGGTGAGACACAGTTGGATTGCTGTGTCCAGTGCTGGGCTCCCCAGTACAGAAAGGACACTGACATACTGGAGTGAATCCAGTGAAGGGCCGTGATGGTGATTTAAGGGTCTGGAGCATCTGACATATGAGGAGAGGCTGAGAGAGCTGGGACTGTTCAGCCTGGAGAAGAGGAGGCTCAGGAGGATCTTATCAGTATGCATAAGTGCCTAATGTGGAGGGTAAAGAAGACAGAGCCAGACTCTTCTCTGCAGTGCCCAGGGACAGGACAAGAGGCAACAGCAGAAATTGGAATGCAGGAAATTTTGCTTAAACATAAGAGGAAGTGGTTTATTTTACTGTGGGGGTGGTTGAACACTGGAACAGGTTGACCAGAGAGGGTGTGGAGTCTCCATCCTTGGAGATACTCAGAACCCAACTGGACATAGTGCTGGACAACCTGCTCTAGTTGACCCTGTTTTGAGCAGGGGAGGTGGACTATAGATGATCTCCAGAAGTGCCTTCCAACCACAGCAATGTTGTATGTTTCTAGGAATAGTAACACTGGAGTTTGAAATACACAGTGGTTTTTTTGTTT